CCTTCCTTAAAATAGTTAAAAAAAAAAAAAAAAAAAAAAACCCCGGAGTTTTTTTCCAGCGGTTATCTGCTGATAGAGGCCGAGGTGGACCTCGGTCAATTTATAGATATATAGATATATAAATAGATATAAATATAAATAGTTTGCAGATTAGAAAACCAATAGCCATGTTTAAAAGATTGTCTCACCGCAGTTCATTTTGGGAGGGGAGTTGGTTAGTTTTGGGGATCCGTAGGCTGCCATGATGAGCTGGTGAATATCTACATGTAGCAGAGGGTGGAGATGATAGACTTAATACTCAATTTTCTGTAGCATTGAATCTTTCAAAGACCAGGGATCTACTCCACCCTCTCTTTCTGCTTGGTCCAAGAGGGAGAGGAAAACAATCTGGACCTAAACCTCATGCGAGTGACCGTACATTGAAACAATCCAGATTTCGCTTTGGGAAGAAAGGGTTGGGAATGGTTGGGAAAGGAACGATTTGGCTTTGGGACATGGGACAGAGCAGGGATGGTGGGGAGTGGGGGGTTGAGGAGCTAAGAAATGGGGTTTTTCCTCTGGAGAGGCGGTGATTCCCCTCCCTCCCCAGGGTTGTATTTGGGGGTCTCCAGCAGGGATGAATTGCTGAATGGTCTCCATCCGTCTGAAGCTGCGAAGAAAGTGGGGGGGAAAGGAAGTAAGAGTATTTTCTAAATTATTTCTTTTGGTTGTACATTATTGGCGCGTTGAAAGCCTTCAACAAAGGTGCTTTTTCAAGAGGCAAATAGACTTGGTGGTTTTTTTATTTCTTGAAGACACGTTTCGCTTCTCCTCCGAGAAGCTTCTTCGGTTCTCACAACCGGATGAGAAGCGAAACGTCTTTAAACTCCAGTTGCCTCTTGAAAAAAGCACCTTTGGGACAACCATGACCTGGATGATTGAGGATCTCCATAGACAATGCATTCCACACTATTTCCCCCTCTATTGTTCCTTTTTTTTGTGGGGGGGGAGGGTACCATGGTGGCTGGCATTTAAATCTTCATCACGTCCTCCAACAACAGTTCAAAGAGATTTAATCAGATTGCACAGGCGATGTTGCAAGAGAACAGATTTAATCAGTTTGCACAGGCGATGTTGCAAGAGAACAGGGTTAAAATTCAACCCCCAGCCTTCCCTCCTCCCCTTTTAAATTCTGAATTTTCCTGTTTTTAATTCGGCGTGCCCTCGCCCTCCCCAAATGCAGAGAAACACGCAATAATTTCTCCTTCCTGATGGATGGATCTAAATCAGTGGTGGGATTCAGATGGTTCGCACCAGGGGTGGGTTTCTTGCCCCGTTCCAACCGATTCGGTTGGAACGGGGCAAGAAACCCACCCCTGGTGCGAACCATCTGAATCCCACCACTGATTTAGATCCATCCATCAGGAAGGAGAAATTATTGCGTGTTTCTCTGCATTTGGGGAGGGCGAGGGCACGCCGAATTAAAAACAGGAAAATTCAGAATTTAAAAG